ACTTGTGGGAATTATTTATTCTGTTTGGAGCAGTGGAGGAAAATCAATTTGCATGGAATTCAAATAGAAATCTTAAAAAAAAAATAACATAAATGTTTCTTAATATATAGCCCTTTACTAATTCACAAAATATGAGTGTCAACTCTGTGCCAGCCATTGTGCTCTGGAATATCATGCAAAAGGCCTTTGTTACCATGATTAGTCTTGAGTTTGATACAGACATTCAGAATGAAGTCCCAGCACTAATATTAGAAAAAGTGCTATGTGCTAAAAGTGCTGATGATGGGTTAATCAAAGTGAATGGATTCCATTGGCATAATATGAATATAATAAAGAAGAATAAATACTGATTCAAGAAATGGATTAATAATGAATGAGAAAGTAGTTCATTTATTTAAAAGTTTAAGTTATTTTTTAAAAAGTAATATGCAATATTGTGCAAGATTATCCCAGCACATTAGTTACTTCCTGTTTCTCTTGCTCACTTTGGGCAGCTACATTAAGTCAGGTCACAATGGAACCGTTCTGCACACAGAAGGATTAACTTACCAAACAGTCTTTTAGAAGGCAGCAGTGGTGAATGCAGCTGCCGAAAGTGCTTGATAGAACCTGCGATTAGAATCCACACTGGAAGAAGCTGGCTCAATGTGTCATACAAATATGAAACGCCTGTGATTGCATGTTTCTAAATTGAAACTCTGGCATCTGTTGGAGAATTCTTCTGATGCCAAGAAACCAAATGAAACAAAAAGTCAAGAAACTCTCAGGTTGGAAACTCAAGTACAGTATTACTAGGTTGCATGTTTTCCCCTTAAATATTTGGCTATGTCATAGCTCTTGACCTGACACAGAATGTTGTGGTTACTTTTGCAATAATGATGTATTTATGTGATCCATTTATAATTTAGACTGGATTTTACTTACTTTTATCCTGAGACAGATTAAGAAATTGAGTGTTTGTTATGGGTCAGACTGATTCAGAAATTTAACTTTGCAGAACACTGGAATCCCTTATCTTGCAGAAAATCAGTAACTGAAAATTGGGAAGGGCAAGTTGAAAAGCCACAACATAAAAAGTGTAAGGAGAAGCACTCATTTCCTTCTGCAAAAGTGAAGTATCATTTCCTTGCAGCCTTTATTCAAAGTCAGTAGTAAGTATTTTCCACAGTATAATCAGTTTATCTTTTTAAAGCAAGGGGGTGCCATGACTTACATATTCTACTTCTCTCATCTATTATGAATTATTCTCAGAATTAAGTTTAGTAGAACCACAATACAGGGTGCAAAAAAAGTCCAAGCAAATATTCATTAATGAAAGGGTAAAAAATATTGGAATTATTTGCCATGACTGGAAAATGCACAGTTATGTAGTAGTTGGAAGATTTTCTTACGGATAGAGACTCCCTGCAGGAAAATAACATCCTCTTTCACATCTTTTACTGATTGAAGATGTGATGGTTAGAAAAATCTCTAATTACAATCAATCACTCTTCCATATTCTACATGTGTGCCTATAAAACCCTGCAAAACTTCTGATAAAGTTTACCAGCAACTAAATAAGTTCAAACTCTGACCTGTTACCTTCTCACAAATCTTGTTCTCCCACATCTTTTTCTCGTCTGTAAAAGGCACTGTCATCTTCCTATTAATATGGAATAAAATCTAGAGATCTTTGGCTCATCCTTTTTCTTCATCTTCTATCTCTTCATCACGTCACTTTACAATACACACATTCAATCAGTCACCAAGTTCATCTGTTTTCTTTCCAAAATAGCCCTTACCTTGAGGTTAGCTTTTATATTTGTATCAATCTTGTAGGTAGTCCATATTACATGGATAGAATTCTACTTTTCTGTCCATCAGTTTTCTAACAAACTCTTCCAAAGTTTGTCCCCAACTCGACTTTCCAATGTGTTTGTTCACTACTCTGCCCCAGTGAAAGGGAACTGGTTGCTTTTCCAAGTTGTACTGAAATCTCTTATTTCTCTAGCCATTTTCCTGCCTTTTTCTCAGCTCAGGAATTATTTTTTCTTCTGCCTGTTGAAATCTTGCACACATCTATATAATCTCTTTTAACAATTTTTGAAAGGTTACACAATACATTGCAAGTTATATAGCATTTTTTAAATTAATTAATTATTTTCAAACATATTGAGCAGCATTATTTTACTTTCAAAGATACCTTATGTGAAACCATATACATATATGTATACAAACACACACATATATGTGTAAGTGCAATATACATATACATATACATATAATATTATTAGAATTGATTTGCTAACTTTGTATTGATAGCATTTACTTTTATAAAGTCAATCAGTGAATCACAGATAATCTGATATTGGTTTTTTAATTCATAATTTTTGTTTCTATTAAATAGCATTTAGAAATTATTGCTTTTTATATGTGTAGTTAAATTATAAATTTTTATGATTCATTTCACAATTTCAGACAAATTTGTCAATAAACAGGGATGGTGGAAAAAATGTATCCTAATATCTGTATAGAAATAAGAGGAACATTTTATTTTAGAGTAGATTCAGATTTATGGAAAAGTTATGAAGATAGTGGTTTTCTTATATCCCACAACCAAGTTTCCTCCTATTATTAACATCTCATATTGGCAAAGTACATATGTTATAATTGATAAACAAATACTGATACACTTTTATTAACTAAAGTCCATACTTTGTTTAGATTTTCTTGGATTTTATCTTCTGTGTTTTTTTTTTCTGTGTTTTTTTTTCTTTTCTTCTGTGTGTTTTTTTAATTTTTAAAAGAGTTAAGCTACATTTGAAGAATGAAATTTAGATAAAATAGCGGGATTATCAAAACACTCCATGGATTCTGTCACTTCTGTGAAATACAGCAAAAACTATGCTCTTTCTGTTTTAGTCTCATCTGTCTACTGTCTGTCACCCTAAGCCACTCTTCCTTTTTCAAATTGTTTCTCAACAGAGAATTACTTTATTTTTAGTTCCCTAAATAAATTGCATTGGTTAATGCCCCATGCCTATGTTGGCTCTCCACTTGGATGGTTTCTCTCCTTGTCCAGCTAGTGAATTTTGATTAAACCCCTAAAATCTAGAGTAAGAACCATCTATTCTGTGGCTCCATTTCTAAAGATGCTAATAATCAGCACAGACTGCTTTTAATATCAGCCATTTTTGTCAAACTAAATACTCAAATTTCTATTGTATTTTGATTTGTATTTTGTTTGATTTCCCATTTGACTAAATTTAATATAATTTCCTTTTCCTTTATATAGACATGACATACAGAATTTGAGAAACTTACTCATTTAACCAAAGGGGAATTCTGTAAAATTTGATAGAGTAAGGTCTTTCTTGAAGTGCGTGCATGTGTATGTGTGTGTATGTGTACTAATGAGTATAAGATCTTTCCTTCTTTTTATTTTGTTTGCCTGGAGTCAAGACAGTAGAAATGAGCTGAATTTAACCATTGCAACCAAAAGATGTTTTTAGCTGATTATTTTAAGCTTTATAATTTAATATTATAATAAGCTTTGCAATTAATTGGATTTTGGGGGGATTGATTAAAAGAATACTAGTAACATAATTTTTTGTGAATTCAATATAATTTAATTAGCACTTTGATCAAGAGCAATGATAATAATGTCCAAGTGGATCAGTGCTGACTTCCGTTATCACGTTGAACTCTCTTGATTCAAATTACTGCTATTTTACAGCTCTTTAATATTTCCACCAGCAGAGAAAAGAGAGAGAGCAGCAGATTTAATTTTTTCCATTCAGTTTTGACTACTTGTAAAACACAATGATTACAGAATGCCAGGGGAAAATTTTCTGTAGGACTAATTACCCTTGCTGAATCTTTCTTCTCTCTGTGTGGGTTGTGAGAATATGATGAAATTATTATGTACCAATTTATTAAGTTCAATAAATAAATACAGCCTATATCTTTCTTTTAATTGAAATTTCACCCTGTAAGTGATTTTACCCAGTTGGAAATAAACTGGAAAATAGAAAAAGATTACGAAATTTATGGTTGATAATTATTATTTTTCATAATAGAAGTAACAATTTACATTTGTGTAGTGTCAGTTACTGGTTTCTTATTCATTATCTCATTTAATCCTGAGAGAAATCCATTCCTATTGGAGCTAAAGACATTGTTATCTCCATTTACAGTTGAAGAAGCTGAAAGTCAGAGAAATTAGGAAGCTTAACTAAGATTATACAGCCATAGAACTCCGATCTCAAAGGAACAGTGGGCTAACCTTTTCCTAGAAACAAATTTGGTTATATTATTTGAGCACTTAATATTTATCAGGTGATGTGCTGAGTTTGAGCATCCACAGATGAAAAGACATTTGCTTCCTTATAATAAACCATCAAATTAAAAAAAAAAAAAGAGTAACAATGTAGGCAGTCTGTCCTCTGACTCATGCTTTATTAGTGTTGAATAGTCAAACAAGGACTCAATATTTGTCCTCACCTTCCACCTCACCTACAAAGCTTCATCTTAAATATCCATCTGATTCGCAACTCTTCTACAAAATTCTGCTTTAAAAATAGAGGATTGATATGAAGAGTGAAATATTTACAAAATTTGAAAAAAAAAGTATTTTCATGAGGGTTACCTGAATTTCCAATAAAAGAACTACTTTAAATTTTAGATCACTTAACAATAAAAATAACGTGGGTAATCAGGTATTTAAAAACCAAGGATCTCATTAAAAAAATCAATAAATTAAAAAATTTGAAACTATTAATCACAGCACAAAGAGGTAATATTTCAGCCACAATAAATATTTTTTAGTAAAATCAGAATATTTAAAAAACATTTTCCATTTGTTGACTATTCTACTATTTAGTTATTTCTCTTGATCAGAAACACAGATTGCTGTAAATTACCAGAGTACATTTTTATGACAGCCTGTTTTATATAGTTATGTGCATACTTTGCGTAATTTTCCATTAAGATGTAAAGCGTTTGGGAAAAACCCCACTAACCTTTACGGGAAAGCAGTTTGTCAAATGATTCACCCCATATCACTGCTTCTTCAGGGGAGACTCTGTTCAAGAGACAGAATGTTTGTAATGGAGTATGCAGAAAGACTGTTTCTAGATCTGCTCTAACATACTCTTTAATACTGCTCTTTTCAGTTATAGGGTTTCTTCTTTTATTATTATGTAATGAAAGTTGTGTATACATTGGAAACTTCAAAAACATTGGTCAAATTTTTTATTGATTTTGCCTACCAAACAATATGTTAAAATAACATATAAATATTAAATATTAAAGAAATCAGGTCATTATCTTTTTTTTTCTTGAGAAAACAATTTATTCATCTCTGCATATCCAGTTTAATTCAGCAAATAGAAGAACCTAAACTGACAGTGACTTTTAGCCAAACTCTTTTTTAACTGCAATTTCCTTGAAGCTCTTACCACAATACACAGCAATTTTTTTTTAAACAGATAGAGGAAGTTTGGCTAATGAGGTTCTAAAGGGATAAGAAATATATTTAAAAAGTTGCAATACAACAAATATATTACAGTTATAATTTACAAGGTTGAATATATTTGTCTTGGACCTTTTATTGGTCATATTTCATTTTTGGACAAATCTGTATTATACTACTATATAAGGCCACTTCATTTTCTCTTTGAATTAAAGAAATGGCTAAAAATGACAAAACATCCCTTTTCGTGCTTTTTTGCTTTTATACTTACAGGCATTTTTTTCAAACTACTAAGGGAAGAGATGAATAGCTCTCCTCTATGACAATATTATATTGTGAAACTCTTAAATTAATGAGTATTTCATCAGTTTATAAGGAACAAAATACATCATTTAAAATTGACAGGTATATAACTTTAAAAGAGCACTTTTAAATTTTTATAAGGTTATTTAATTCAAGGTATTAAAGTAGTTTAATTTTATGGAATATTCCTAGTTTTTTGAAATGAGATCTCTAACCTTCTTTATATTACTGTGTAATTTCCAATAAAATGGAAATTCCTAATTTCCTCTTTTTTAAACCTTTAATGATAGAATAAGAAAATCTTCCCTCAAATAATTAAAAGTTATTCACCTTGTTTCTTTGGCCAAGTGCCCAGATTTACTGGAGTGGGTTTCTTCATGAAACTCAGGTTTCTGCACGAGAAGACTTAACCTATTTCTTTTTTCCTTAGCTCTGAAAATGAAAAGGCATTAGCTTCAGGACAATTTGGATGACAATTAAAATCTTTCCTTCTGACTGTTAAACAAATTTGGGATTGGTCATCACCTGAACATCCCTTCTCACCCACCATCCACCCCCCCACACTCACAATGGTTTTCCTAGTGAATTTCATCCAATTTGGGGAGGAATTAGGATAGCATATGTGAAATATATTTTGTTTTTTCCCTCAGTGATTTTAATGTATTTGAGATTATATTTCAATGAAGATTGTCACTAGTTGTTCTGTGTGGTTAAATTGTTGCACTTTTTCAAAAATAAAAACACTTTAGGGGTGCCTGGGTGGCTCAGTTGGTTAAGCATCTGCCTTGGGCTCAGGTCATGATCTCAGTGTCCTAGGATCGAGCCCTGCATCAGGCTCTCTGCTCAGGGGGGGGGGGGTCTACTTCTCCCTCTGCCCCTCCTTCTGCCCCTCTTCCTCCTCGAGCTCTCTCTCTCTCCCTCAAATAAATAAATAAAATCTTAAAAAAATAAATAAAAACACTTGAGATTTAACAGGTATTTACTCCTAGTAAACAAAGAGACATTTTTCCCCAATTGTAACACTACATTCAATGTAGTTTCAACCAGATATTTTTAAAAAAGTGTTAACAAATATTCAACATTAATCATGTTTTTAAAAGTATAAAACCAATTTTAAAAATTATGATTTTACCTGATTTTGGCTTCTTTGCTTGTTTCTTCTTTTCCTGAACCATGTATTAACTTGAAAAAAGTTTTTTCTTTTGATTCGCACATATTTAATTGAGGAAAGAAAACCAATGATGTTTCCATCTTCTCTCTCTAAAATGAAGAGATGTCTAATTTGTTACATCCTTCACCTGTTAATGCTATTTCATAGTTATACATGGTACAATAAAAAGTTATCTTAACTCTGTCAGCAGTGCTTAAAAAAATAAAGTAAAAATGGAGTCAAGAGCTGTGTTTCTGTCTCCACAAAAAAGTAGAACTGAGGAACCGAAGTACAGTTTGGTCCTGAGCTGTTTAGGGAAATGATATTACAAATTTGCAAAATGACTCTTGGTCTCTAAGATAAAGACGAGTATTACCACAGTGCAACTTCTCTTTCTAGTTTGTGCAACCAGAATGATGCTTTAATAGACCCAAATGACACTGTCATTTCCCACAGGAAATTTTTAAAAAGTTTTCTTTTTTTTTTAAGATTTTATTTATTTATTTGATAGAGAGACACAGAGAGAGCAAGCATGAGCAGGGGGAGGGGCAAAGGGAGAGGGAGAAGCAGACTCACCACTGAGCAGGGAGCTGGACACAGGGCTTTAACCCAGGACCCTGGGATCATGACCTGAGGCAAAGACAGACACTTCACTGACTGAGCCACCCAGGTGCCCCAAAAAAGTTTTTAAACGTGTATAGTGTGTATCAAAATATGTTGTGGTGAAGTAGTACATTGAATGCTAGGAGATATTTTCCATTGTTCTTAAATTTTTTTTTACTTATTTTAATTACATTGAATTAAGTAAGTTACATTTAATTGACATAATGCTTTGTAATGTAAATTACATTTGCTTAACATATTGTATCAAAGTAAGAATATAGAGGGAGTTTTATAGTTGAAAGAGACAGTAGAAAGCATTTCATTCAATACTTTTTAAGCACAGATTCATAGAATGATTTTAGACATTTAAGAAATTTTTATCAGTCCATGGTGAAAATGGGGAAAAAAGATAATATGTAAATTTTTTCTTTTTTTTTTTAAGATTTATTTATTTGAGAGAGAGAGTGCATGTGAGCTGGAGGTGGGGCGGGGCAGAAGGAGAGGGAGAGAGAGAATCCTCAGACTCCTTCAGACCCGTTCTCGAGCTCCATCCCAGGACCCTGAGATTATGACCTGAGCTGAAATGAAGAGTCAGACCCAAACGACTGAGCCACCCAGGTGCCCTGTAAATTTTCTTCTTAAACTACACATATTTTAATATGAAGGAAGTCCTTATTTTGAATTTGCCTTTCTATTTTTTTTATTGTTAAAATGTTCTTTTTGAGGAAAGATTTTAACTAGAGACAGCAGTTTGTATGTTTGTTATTTTACGTTCTTATTGAAAAAGAAATGGCAATTCAAATTTGGTTCAACCTCTGCTTCTTTTACTGTTTTTTGACAACTCTAATATCTAAGAAATATTGATGTAGTCCATAACTCACATTTTGTAGAAAAGGAAACCAAGAATGATAGATATTAAGTGATTTATTATTGCAAATTCTGGGAGGCCAGTAGAATAAAAGATCTGGAATTATCAGAGCCTTCAATAACCAGGAGCATGTTATTTAGTCTTTCTAAAAGAGCCTTTGATCTGCAGGAGTGAATACTTTAATTCCTCTAAAATTGTATATATTGAAAAACAAGTTAACAAATGTAAAGGAAACCTGTCTTATTTTTAGCCTGCTCCAGTTATTGATTTCAAGAAAATAGTTGTCAGGGATACCACCTAGGAGCTCAAAACATTTGCAGAATTGAAATCAAAGAATATTTATTTATTTATATATATATATTTTAAAGATTTTATTCATTGACTTGACAGAGAGAGACACAGCGAGAGAGGGAACATAAGCAGGAGGAGTTGGGGAGGGAGAAGCTGGTTTCCCGCTGAGCAGGGAGCCCAATGTGGGGCTGGATCCCAGGACCCTGGGACCATGACCTGAGCTGAAGGCAGATGTTCAACAACTGAGCCACCCAGGCACCCCTAAAGAATATTTAGTATATATTTATACACACTCCCTCCTGATTCTATAACTTTCACTCTGAACATATTTTTAAATTCACCTTGGCTGAAAATTGACTGTAAAAAGACTATATTTGAAGTACCATATCCAGAGGAGAGACAGAAACTTACTGATGCTTTTCATAAGATTGGTTGAAATTGTGTGCAAGATGTGCTATCTACAAGCTGATAGAACTATGGAGAGATATATTGTGAAAATATGGACACAAGGAAACTGCAATAAAGGCCTGTATAATGGTGTGAAAAAGAAATGGGGGAAGGAGCAAGATGGTGGAGGAGTAGGAGACCTAATTTTGGTCTGGTTCCAGGAATTCAGCTAGATAGCTGCTATCAGACCATTCTGAACACCTACAAACTCAACAGGAGATTGAAGAAAAGAATAGCAGCAACTCTCTAAACAGAAAAGTGGCCACTTTCTGGAAGGTAGGATGTGTGGAGAAGTGAATCTGAGGTGACATTTGGGAAGATAGACTGTGGGGGGAGGGAGCCTCCTCAGCCAGCTACCAGCAAGTGATAGGGCAGTGGAGCACAAAATTGGAATCTTTAGAAGTCAGCTCCACTGAGGGACATCGCTCCAGTGGCTAAGTGGGGGGTGGAACCCTCGCTGGGACAGTGTGGTCTCAGGACCCTTGGGGTCACAGAAAGACCAGGGGTGCCTGAGTGCAGCAGAGCTCCCAGATATTGGAGCAGGGAAGCCGGCTGCAGAGAGGGAGCAGAGGAGTGGGCTCTCAGCTCGGGGTTGCCATAAACAGTGATCTGTGGCACAGTTGGGCCACCTCTCCTCCAGCAGGAACCCAACAAGTGGCAGATCTGGGGAGACTCCCCTTCTTCCCCCGGGAGGAGTGGCACGGGAGCACACCACATGTATCTGTGGGTTTGGAGACTCCACACGGGGTCGGGTGCCAGAGCTAGAAATGCTTGGTCACAGGCCGGGTGAGCATAGAGTGCGGCCGGAGACCAGGGAGACAGGAGTGATTGACTGCTTTTCTCTGGGGGTGCACTGAGGAGTGGGGCCCGAGATCTCAGCTCCTCTGGGGCAGAGATTGGGAGGCCGCCATTTTCACTCTCCTCCTCCAAAGCTGTATGGAAAGCTTGCAGGGAACAAAAGCTACCAAGAGCAAACCCGAGCAGATTACTTAGCCCGGCCCCTGACAAGGGCGGGGCAATTCCACCTCCGGCAAAGACATTTGAGAACCACTGCAACAGGCCCCTCCCCCAGAAGATCAGCAAGAACAGCCAAGACCAAGTTTACCCATCAATGAGAATTGCAAAACTCCAGTGCAAGGGGAATACAGCACATAGAATTCATGGCTTTTTTCCAATGATTAACTTTCAAAGTTAATTTTTTTAATTTTTTTATTTTTTTTCTATTTTTTTTTGAAATTTCTTCTTTCCTTTTTCAACCAACATATTATTTTATCAATTGCTTTTTTAAAATCTTTTTTAATTTTCACTTTTACAGTCGTATTCTATCCCTTCATTGTATTTAACCTTATATTTTGTATATATATAAGTTTTTCTTTCTTTAAAATTTTGGGATACAGTTTCTTCTAACAGACCAAAATATACCCTAAATCTAGTGTATGGCTTTGTTCTAGTCTCCCACCTGATCACATTCTTTTTTTTTTTTTTTTTAAGTTTTCTTCTTTCTTTTTTCAACCAACTTCTTATCAATTCCTTTTTAAAAATCTTTTTAAATTTTCATCTTTACAGTCATATTCCATCCCTTCATCGTATTTACCCTTATTTTTTTTTGTATTATACATATATGTATATATATATATATGTTTTTCTTTCTTTAAAATTTGGCAGGCAGTTTCTTTTAACAGACCAAAATACACCCAAAACTAGTGTGTGGCCCTGTTCTATTCACCAGCCTGATCATATTCTTTTCTTTTTTTTTTTTTTCCTTTTCTTATCCCCCCAGTTTTGGGTCTCTTCTGATTTCTTTAGTGTATATTTTTCTGGGGTTGTTGCTACCCCTTTAGCATTTTGTTCTCACATTCCTCTATTCTTCTTGGGACAAAAGGACAAAATGGAAAAGCTCACCTCAAAAAAAAAGAAAAAGAGGGAGTACCAACTTCCAGGGACCTAGTCAATATGGACATTAGCAAGATGTCAGAACCAGAGTTCAGAATGACAATTATAAAGACTACCTGGGCTTGAAAAAAACGTAGAAGATACTAGAGAATCCCTTTCTGGAGAAATAAAGAACTAAAATTTAATGAAGTCAAAATCAAAAAGGCTATTAATGAGGTGCAATCAAAAATGTCCACTATCACCACTGCTATTCAACATAGTACTAGAAGTCCTAGCCTTAGCAATCAGACAACAAAAAGAAATCAAAGGCATCCAAATCAGCAAAGAAGAAGTCAAACTCTCACTCTTTGCAGATGATATGATACTTTATGTGGAAAACCCAAAAGACTCCACCCCAAAACTGCTAGAACTCATACAGGAATTCAGTAAAGTGGCAGGATATAAAATCAATGCACAGAAATGAGTTGCACTTCTATACTCCAACAACAAGACAGAAGAAAGAGAAATTAAGGAGTTGATCCCATTTACAATTGCACCCAAAACCGTAAGATACCTAGGAATAAATCTAACCAAAGAGGCAAAGAATCTGTACTCAGGAAACTATAGAATACTCATGAAAGAAATTGAGGAAGACACAAAGAAATGGAAAAACATTCTATGCTCATGGATTGGAAGAACAAATATTGTAAAAATGGCTATGCTACCTAGAGCAATCTACACATTTAATGCAATCCCTATCAAAATACCATCAACTTTTTTCAAAGAAATGGAACAAATAATCCTAAAATTTGTATGAAACCAGAAAAGACCCCGAATAGCCAGAGGAATGTTGAAAAAGAAAAGCAAAGCTGGTGGCATAGCAATTCCAGACTTTAAGCTCTATTACAAAGCTGTCATCATCAAGACAGCATGGTAGTGGCACAAAAACAGACACATAGATCAATGGAACAGAATAAAGAGTCCAGAAACAGACCCTCAACTCTATGGTCAACTAATCTTCAATGAAGCAGAAAAGAATGTCCAATTGAAAAAAAAGACAGTCTCTTCAACAAATGGTGTTGGGAAAATTGGATGGCCACATGCAGAAGAATGAAACTGGACCATTTCCTTACACCACACACAAAAATAGACTCAAAATGGATGAAAGACCT